GCGAGAAGGCGGCGCCCACGCCGCCCACGCGCCCGCGCGCGAGGAGGGATGTGCCCGGCCCTCCATCGCCACGCCTCGAGTCCGGGCGGAAGGTGGCGGCACGGGCGTCGCCTTCGTCGCGGCTCCAGGGCCAAGACCGCCGACTGCCCCTCGTCCCTCCTCCTTCTTCCCTCCTTCCCACCCTCCCTCTCTCTCTCTTTCTCTCCCCTCCCCCTCCTTCCAACTCTCCCTCCGCTCTCCTTCTTCCCTCCTTCTCCCTCCCTCATTCCCTCCCTCTCTCTCTCTCCCCCTCCCTTCTTCCCTCCTCCTTCCCCACCTCTCTCTCTCTCTCCCTCTCCCTCTCTCTCCCTCTCCCTCTCCCTCCCACATTCCCTCTCTCCCCTCTCCCTCCCTCATTCCCTCTCTCCCTCCCTCCCTCTCTCTCCCTCTCTCCCTCCCACTTCCCACTCTCCCCCTCTCCCTCTTCCCCTTCCCTCATTCCCTCTCTCCCTCCTTTCTCCCCCTCCCTCCCGCTCTCCCTCTTCCTCCCCCTCCCCCCTCCCTCCCTCCCTCTCTCCCCTATCCCTCTCTCCCCCTCTCCCTCCCTCCCTCTCCCTCCCTCCTCCCCCTCCCTCCCTCTCTCCCTTTGTCCCTCCTCCCACCATTGTCAGATAAAGATGAGAGGAAACTGATAACCTTTATCTGTTGCTACAGGTGCGGCTGGCACGAAGGGCGAGGGAGATGAGGCGACCGAGGCGAAGGAGAGGCAGGAGGGAAGGGGAGGGGTGGAGGGAGGGAGGGGGGGGGGGGAGGGTTGAGGTGATGGGGGTGAGGAGGGAGCAGGAGGGAAGGGTGGAGGGGAGGAGGGGGGGCGGAAGGGTTGAGGTGATGGGGTGAGGAGGGAGCAGGAGGGAAGGGGAGGGGTGGAGGGGAGGGAGGGGGGGCGGAAGGGTTGAGGTGACGGGGGTGAGGAGGGAGCAGGAGGAAGGGTAGGGGTGGAGGAGGGAGGGAGGGAGAGTTGAGGTGATGGGGGTGAGGAGGGAGCAGGAGGGAAGGGGAGGGGTGGAGGGGAAAGGGAAGGGAGGGAGGGAGGGGGGGGGGGCGGAAGGGTTGAGGTGATGGGGGTGAGGAGGGAGCAGGAGGGAAGGGGAGGGTGGAGGGAGGGAGGAGGGGGGGCGGAAGGGTTGAGGTGATGGGGGTGAGGAGGGAGCAGGAGGGAAGGGTAGGGGTGGAGGGAGGGAGGGAGGGGGGGGCGGAAGGGTTGAGGTGATGGGGTGAGGAGGGAGCAGGAGGGAAGGGGAGGGGTGGAGGGGAGGGAGGGAGGGGGGGGCGGAAGGGTGAGGTGAATGGGGGTGAGGAGGGGGCAGGAGGGAAGGGGAGGGGTGGAGGGAGGGAGGGAGGGGGGCGGAAGGGTTGAGGTGATGGGTGAGGAGGGAGCAGGAGGGAAGGGAGGGGTGGAGGGGAGGGAGGAGGGGGCGGAAGGGTTGAGGTGATGGGGGTGAGGAGGAGCAGGAGGGGAAGGGGAGGGTGGAGGGGAGGGAGGGAGGGGGGCGGAAGGGTGAGGTGATGGGGGTGAGGAGGGAGCAGGAGGGAGAAGGGAGGGGTGGAGGGGAGGAGGGGGGGGGCGGAAGGGTTGAGGTGACGGGGTGAGGAGGAGGCAGGAGGGAAGGGGAGGGGTTGGAGGGGAGGGAGGGGGCGGTCGGAAGGGTGTAGGTTGATGGGAGTAGGAGGAGAGGAGGGAAGGTAGGATGGAGGGGGGGCGGAGGGTTGGGGTGAGGAGGGAGCAGGAGGAGGGAGGAGTGAAGTCGGGAGGGAGAGAGGGGGGGAAGGTTGAGTTGATGGGGGTGAGGAGGAGCAGGAGGGAAGGGGCTAGGGGGAGGGAGGGAGGAGGGGGGCGGAAGGGTTGAAGGTGATGGTGAGGTGAGGAGGGGAGGGGAAGGGAAGGGAGTGAGGTGGAGGGGAGGGAGGGACGGGGGGGGCGGAGGTTGAGTGATGGGGTGAGGAGGGAGCAGGAGTGGAAGGGGAGGGGTGGAGGGGAGGGAGGGGGAGGAGGTAGCGGTTGAGGTGAAAATGGGGTAGAGGAGGAGCAGGGAAGGGAAGGGGAGGGGGGAAGGGGAGGGAGGGAAGGGGGCGGAAGGGTTGAGGTGATGGGGGTGAGCGAGGAGCAGGAGGGAAGGGAGGGGTGGAGGGAGGAGGGAGGGAGGGAGGCGGAAGGTTGAAGGTGATGGGGGGAGGAGAGCGAGGCAGAAGGGGAGGGTGGAGGGGAGGGAGGGAGGGAGGGGGCGGAAGGTTGAGGTGACGGGGTGAGGAGGGCAGAGGAGAAGGGAGGGGTGGAGGGGAGGAGGGGGGGCGGAAGGGTTGAGGTGAGGGGGTGAGGAGGGGAGCAGGAGGGAAGGGGAGGGGTGGAGGGAGGGAGGAGGGGGCGGAAGGGTTGAGGTGACGGGGGTGAGGAGGGAGAAGGAGGGAAGGGAGGCGGTGGAGGGGAGGGAAGGGGGGCGGAAGGGTTGAGGTGATGGGGGTGAGGAGGGAGCAGGAGGGAAGGGAGGGGTGGAGGGGAGGAGGGGGGCGGAAGGCGTTGAGGTGATGGGGGTGAGGAGCAGGAGGAAGGGAGGGAGGGCGGAAGGGTGGAGGGGAGCAGGAGGGGGGAGGGAGGAGGGGGCGGAGGTTGATGAGGGGTGAGGAGGGAGCAGGAGGGAGGAGGGGGGAGGGGAGGAGGGGGGGCGGAGGGTTGAGGTGACGGGGGTGAGGAGGAAGCAGGGAAGGGTAGGGGTGGAGGGGAGGGAGGGAGGGAGGGTTGGAGTGATGGGGTAGGAGGGAGCAGGAGGGAAGGGGAGGGGTGGAGGGGAGGGAGGGGGGGCGGAAGGGTTGAGTGACGGGGGTGAGGAGGAGCAGGAGGGAAGGGGAGGGGTGGAGGGAGGGAGGGGGGCGGAAGGGCTGAGGTGATGGGGGTGAGGAGGAGCAGGAGGGAAGAGGGAGATCGCAGGGAGAGGGGAGAGGGAGAGCTGACCCATGAGGAGGGGAGGGGAGGGGGGGGAGGGGAGCTGACCCATGAGGAGGGGGAGGAAAGGGGGGGAGAGGGAGAGCTGACCATGAGGGAGGGGGGGGTTGGGGGGCTGGCTGGCTATTATCATTCTGCGACCTTGCCGACTGGGGCAGTGAGTGCTGTTGTTGGGTCTCGTGTTTATCAAAACATTGGTTTATTCCGGATAGCCGCTGCTGAGAGCCCGGTCGCCGCCCAATGAGATATTTAGGAAAGAAATCAGTAACGGTGCGTTCTATTTTTACTCGAAAAAACACAGATAAATCCTGACACACACGCGAACCCAGTCAAGCACCAGATAACATGTACACGAATTAAATTCCGAACTTTCCTCTTCTGTGATTGGCCAGACTCCTGCGAATCTGCGTTGCGATTGGCCGAGGTTTTGTAGAAGCCTTTCGGTGATTGGTCAAACTCCTGTGAATCTGCGTTGCGATTGGCCGAGGTTTTGTAGATGCCCTTCGCTGATTGGTCAAAACAAATCAGAAGAGCCAATGGGAGCAAGTCTTTCTCTCGGTTAAGGAGATCGAAAGTAAAGTATTAGCCATAGCAAAAATATAGGTATATATTCTGAAAATATATTTTACACAGAAAATTCACATTACCACATTGTGGCCATTTAACTTCGGATAGTATTCTGGGTGAAGGATGAGGGAGGAATATAATAAACGAGGAGAGAGAGGGAGAGGGAGAGAGAGAGGGAGAGGGAGAGAGAGAGAGAGAGAGAGAGAGAGAGAGAGAGAGAGAGAGAGAGAGAGAGAGAGAGAGAGAGAGAGAGAGAGAGAGAGAGAGGGGAGGGAGGGGGAGGGAGGAGGGAGGGAGGGAGGGAGAGAGAGAGAGAGAGAGAGAGAGAGAGAGAGAGAGAGAGAGAGAGAGAGAGAGAGAGAGAGAGAGAGAGAGGGGGGGGTTAGGGAGGAAGGAGAAAGAGAGACAGAGACAGAGAGAGTGAGAGAGATGGATAGAAATAGATAGTCTAAGATAAAAATGTAATTAGAGACAGATGATGAAGAAAATAGTAATCATGATGATTACGATGATAATGATAATAAAGATAAAGATAATAATAATAATAATGATAATAATAACAATGATAAAATAATGATAATAATGACAATAATAATAATAACAATGACAATAATAATAACAATGATAAAATAATGATAATAACAACATTGAAAGTGATGTTAGAAATAATACTGATAATAATAATAATGATAATAATAATAATGGTAATGGTAATAATGATAATGACAATTATCATAATTGAAATAATGATAACGATAACAACAACAAAACACATGAAAATAACTGATAACTCTAACTCTAATGACAGTAATAATAATAATGATAAGGATAATAATAATAACAATAACAATACTGATACTAATGATCATAATAATACTAATGACAATAATAATAATAATAATAAGTAATAGTAATGATTATAATACTGATAACAATAATAAGTAATAGTAATGATTATAATAATGATAATAATAATAATAAGTAATAGTAATGATTATATTAATGATAATAATGATAATAAGTAATAGTAATGATTATAATAATGATAATAATAATAATAATAAGTAATAGTAATGATTACAATAGCAATAATGAAACTACTAATAACGAGATTGATAAAGAGGATAACAATAATGGCAATAGCAGCGATAATTATCATCATGATTATAACAAAAAAGAAATGGAAATAAAGCAAAAAATACATGGGTGATGTAATAGGCATTGTGAACAGACCTTCAAATAACTAGGCCTATTATCTCGATAAGATTAGTCCAAGGAATAAAGAAGTAAAATTACATCCACAGCAGAAAAAAGAAGGAAACACAAAGATATGAGTTAAACAATGAATAAGTTGCAGAACAGTAGTTACAAGCAGAGCGTCGTGACTATTGAACAATATTTGAACAAATCCTAAGGTAAAAAGCCTCGCAGAACGGCGAAGAATGGACGATAACAAACAATGAAAATAATAATAAAAATAACAATAAAAACAATAACAAAAAACAAAAACATCATTTGAATTTAGTCTCAATGAAAAGTCCTCCAAAAGGAAAGTGAACAGCTGCCGACGACCCCCCTCCCCCCCACCTCGCCCCCCCCCCCCGCCCTGCGAGACCAACGCCCGGCCGCTGTCGCTAATCTCCTCATCAGGATGGTCCACTCCGATACGGCGTCCGGGCGGGATCGACGCCCTTACGGCAGGTGGCGCCCTCAGATCGCATACTCGGGATGCTTGCTGGCCCGCGCTATCATGACCCGATCGCCAACGGACACGACGCCCTCGCTGTCCGTGGTCATATTCACGCCGAAGACGGGCTTCTTCGACCAGATCTTCGACAGTCTGGGCGGGTGCGTGGGCGTGCGGTACCTGCAAGAGGGTGGGCGTGGTTGCTTTCGGGCTGGAGGCAGAACGGCAAGTGAGTTCAAGTGCCGAGCGTGGCGCCATATAATGCACATCAAAGAAAACGGAGTAGTCTTGCTATCAAGGGATACTCAAGTAAAAAACAACAGTACAGAACAAATATATAATAAAAACATTAGAACTACTCACGAAGAAAGGTGGAATGTTAAAATGACGAAAGCAAACAAATGAAAATAAACAACGAAAATGACAAAGGGGAAGAAGGAAAATGATAAAGATAAGCAACGACAATGTTATCTAAGAATCTGAATGAGTAAGAGTGACGAAGCTAAAAAGGGGAAAGGACAACGTTTAACAGGAAAAAAAAGAAAGAGTTGAACATGGAAAATGACGAAGATGAACAAGAAAAAAAAAAGAAGACAGAGCCAACGACGACGAAGAAGGACAGATGAGCATCATGCGAGCATCATGCAAGGGAAGACGAAGAAGGACAGAGAGCATCATGAGGGAAGACGAAGAAGAAGGAGATGAGCATCATGAGGGGAAGACGAAAAGGACAGACAATGGACGAAGCATCAAGACGAAGAAGGACAGAGGCCGAGCATCATGAGGGGAAGACGAAGAAGGACGAAGATGAGGGAAGACAGAAGGACAGAGGCCGAGCATCATGAGGGGAAGACGAAGAAGGACAGAGGCGAGCATCATAGGGAGTGAGGGGAAGACGAAGAAGGACAGAGGCCGAGCATCATGAGGGGAAGACGAAGAAGGACAGAGGCTGAGCATCATGAGGGGAAGACGAAGAAGGACAGAGGCCGAGCATCATAGACGAAGAAGTTGAGCATCATGAGGGGAAGACGAAGAAGGACAGAGGGAGCATCATATGAGGGGAAGACGAAGAAGGACAGAGGCCGAGCATCATGAGGGGAAGACGAAGAAGGACAGAGGCCGAGCACATAAGCATCATGAGGGGAAGACGAAGAAGGACAGAGGCCGAGCATCATGAGGGGAAGACGAAGAAGGACAGAGGAAGACGAAGAAGGACAGAGGCCGAGCATCATGAGGGGAAGACGAAGAAGGACAGAGGCCAAGACGAAGAAGGACAGAGGCCGAGCATCATGAGGGGAAGACGAAGAAGGACAGAGGCCGAGCATCATGAGGGGAAGACGAAGAAGGACAGAGGCCGAGCATCATGAGGGGAAGACGAAGAAGGACAGAGGCGAGCATCATGAAGGGAAGACGAAGAAGGACAGAGGCCGAGCATCATGAGGGGAAGACGAAGAAGGACAGAGGCCAAGCATCATGAGGGGAAGACGAAGAAGGACAGAGGCCGAGCATCATGAGGGGAAGACGAAGAAGGACAGAGGCCGAGCATCATGAGGGGAAGACGAAGAAGGACAGAGGCCGAGCATCATGAGGGAAGACGAAGAAGGACAGAGGCGAGCATCATGAGGGGAAGACGAAGAAGGACAGAGAGCATCATGAAGGGAAAGACGAAGAAGGACAGAGGCCGAGCATCATGAGGGGAAGACGAAGAAGGACAGAGGCCGAGCATCATGAGGGGAAGACGAAGAAGGCAGAGGCCGAGCATCATGAAGGGAAGACGAAGAAGGACAGAGGCCGAGCATCATGAGGGGAAGACGAAGAAGACAGAGGCGAGCATCATGAGGGGAAGACGAAGAAGGACAGAGGCGAGCATCATGAGGGGAAGACGAAGAAGGACAGAGGAGCATCATGGGGAAGACGAAGAAGACAGAGGCCGAGCATCATGAGGGAAGACAGGACAGAGGCCGAGCATCATGAGGGGAAGACGAAGAAGGACAGAGGCCGAGCATCATGAGGGGAAGACGAAGAAGGACAGAGGCCAAGGGGAAGACGAAGAAGGACAGAGGCCAAGCATCATGAGGGGAAGACGAGAAGGACAGAGGCGAGCATCATGGGGAAGACGAAGAAGGACAGAGGGCATCATGAGGGGAAGACGAAGAAGGACAGAGGCCGAGCATCATGAGGGGAAGACGAAGAAGGACAGAGGGAGCATCGAAGAAGGACAGAGGCCGAGCATCATGAGGGGAAGACGAAGAAGGACAGAGGCGAGCATCATGAGAGGGAAGACGAAGAAGGACAGGCTGAGCATGAGGGGAAGACGAAGAAGGACAGAGGCCGAGCATCATGAGGGGAAGACGAAGAAGGACAGAGGCGAGCATCATGAGGGGAAGACGAAGAAGGACAGGCCGAGCATCATGAGGGGAAGACGAAGAAGGACAGAGGCCGAGCATCATGAGGGGAAGAAGAAGGAGGCCGAGCATCATGAAGACGAAGAAGGAGGCGAGCATCATGAGGGAAGACGAAGGACAGATGAGAGGGAAGACGAAGAAGGACAGGCCGAGCATCATGAGGGGAAGTGAGGGAGCATCATGAGGGGAAGACGAAAGAAGGACAGAGGCCGAGCATCATGAGGGGAAGACGAAGAAGGACAAGAGGCCGAGCATCATGAGGGGAAGACGAAGAAGGACAGAGGCTGAGCATCATGAGGGAAGACGAAGGACAGAGGCCGAGCATCATGAGGGGGAAGACGAAGAAGGACAGAGGCGAGCATCATGAGGGAAGACGAAGACGAGAAGACGAAGAAGGACAAGGCCGAGCATCATGAGGGAAGACGAAGAAGACAGAGGCCAGCATCACAAGACGAGAAGGACAGAGGCTGAGCATCATGAGGGGAAGACGAAGAAGGACAGAGGCCGAGCATCATGAGGGGGAGAGACGAAGAAGGACAGAGGCTGAGCATCATGAGGGGAGACGAGAGGACAGAGGCAGCATCATGAGGGAAGACGAAGAAGGACAGAGGCTGAGCAATCATGAGGGAAGACGAAGAAGGACAGAGGCGAGCATCATGAGGGGAAGACGAAGAAGGACAGGAGCATCATGAGGGAAGACGAAGAAGGACAGAGGCTGAGCATCATGAGGGGAAGACGAAGAAGGACAGAGGACAGCATCATGAGGGGAAGACGAAGAAGGACAGAGGCGAGCATCATGAGGGGAGACGAAGAAGGAACAGAGGCGAAGCATCATGAGGGGAAGACGAAGAAGGACAGAGGCCGAGCATCATGAGGGGAAGACGAAGAAGGACAGAGGCCAAGCATCATGAGGGGAAGACGAAGAAGGACAGAGGCTGAGCATCATGAGGGGAGAGAAGACGAAGGAAGGACAGAGGCGAGCATCATGAGGGAAGACGAAGAAGGACAGAGGCCGAGCATCATGAGGGGAAGACGAAGAAGGACAGAGCATCATGAGGGGAAGACGAAGAAGGACAGAGGCTGAGCATCATGAGGGGAAGACGAAGAAGGACAGATGAGCATCATGAGGGGAAGACGAAGGAGAGGACAGAGCTGACAAGCATCATGAGGGGAAGACAAGAAGGACAGAGAGCATCATGAGGGAAGACGAAGAAGACAGAGGCGAGCATCATGAGGGGAAGACGAAGAAGGACAGAGAGGCATCATGAGGGGAAGACGAAGAAGGACAAGAGGCTGAGCATCATGAGGGGAAGACGAAGAAGGACACGAGGCGAGCATCATGAGGGGAAGACGAAAGAAGGACAGAAGCATCATGAGGGGAAGACGAAGAAGGACAGAGGCCGAGCATCATGAGGGGAAGACGAAGAAGGACAGAGAGCTGAGCATCATGAGGGGAAGACGAAGAAGGACAGAGGCTGAGCATCATGAGGGGAAGACGAAGAAGGACAGAGGCTGAGCATCATGAGGGGAAGACGAAGAAGGACAGAGGCCGAGCATCATGAGGGAAGAAGAAGAAGGACAGAGGCCAGCATCATGAGGGGAAGACGAAGAAGGACAGAGGCGAGCATCATGAGGGGAAGAACGAAGAAGGACAGAGGCTGAGCATCATGAGGGGAAGACGAAGAAGGACAGAGCTGAGCATCATGAGGGGAAGACGAAGAAGGACAGAGGCTGAGCATCATGAGGGGAAGACGAAGAAGGACAGAGGCCGAGCATCATGAGGGGAAGACGAAGAAGGACAGAGGCCTGAGCATCATGAGGGAAGACGAAGAAGGACAGAGGCCGAGCATCATGAGGGGAAGACGAAGAAGGACAGAGGCTGAGCATCATGAGGAAGACGAAGGGGACAGAGAGGCTCATGAGGGGAAGACGAAGAAGGACAGAGGCGAGCATCATGAGGGAAGATCATGTCAATGAGGGAAGACGAAGAAGGACAGAGGCCGAGCATCATGAGGAAGACGAAGAAGACAGAGCGAGCATCATGAGGGGAGACGAAGAAGGACAGAGGGAGCATTATGAGGGGAAGACGAAGAAGGACAGAGGCTGAGCATCATGAGGGAAGACGAAGGACAGAGGCCGAGCATCATGAGGGAGACGAAGAAGGACAGAGGCCGAGCATCATGAGGGAAGACGAAGAAGGACGAGCATCAGAGGCCAGCATCATGAGGGAAGACGAAGAAGGACAGAGGCCGAGCATCATGAGGGGAAGACGAGAAGGACAGAGGCAAGCATCATGAGGGAAGACGAGAAGGACAGAGGCCGAGCATCATGAGGGGAAGGACGAAGAAGGACAGAGGCCGAGCATCATGAGGGGAAGACGAAGAAGGACAGAGGCCGAGCATCATGAGGGGAAGACGAAGAAGGACAGAGGCTGAGCATCATGAGGGGAAGACGAAGAAGGACAGAGGCCGAGCATCATGAGGGGAAGACGAAGAAGGACAGAGGCCGAGCATCAATGAGGGGAAGACGAAGAAGGACAGAAGGACGAGCATCATGAGGGGAAGACGAAGAAGGACAGAGGCTGAGCATCATGAGGGAAGACGAGAAGGACAGAGGCCGAGCATCATGA